AGGTATTGATCGTGAATTTATGGTTAAGCTTTAGAGGCCTTTTAAAGCTTTGCTTCTGTGTTTTCCAAGTTATGAAGATTATGAAGACAAGGTTCTATTGAACAAGTTCTGATGATCTGAAGAAAAATAAGTTCTTACAACTAAGTGCTGAAGACTCTGAAGACAAGGTTCTGATGGGACAAGTTCTGAAGACTTAGGTTCTAAGACTTAAGAGTGATTCTTCTACAACAAGCTTCAAACATTAAAATTATTTGAAGCCTCTGAAGATTAGAAGAAGTTCAAAATGGTTAACATGTAATGGTGTACAAAAGGTACAAAAAGTGTTTTATGACCTCTATCTTCTAGGGTGGCATAAGGACAATACTTTAGTATTGTATTGTCAACCACTCTCATTATGATTGTTGGGGACAAACAACTGAATTTCCAATTACCTTTTTATACCTTCAACTAATTCCAATATGTAATGTAATACTATCATATTTTGATTGAGAGAAAGAGGTTTAATTAATTGTAGTAGTAATTTTGTTTTGTTTGTATATGTATTCATTTCCACTCATTCAAGTGTCAATTCTAAAATGAAAATCACTTTTGTGCAATCTTTCTAACATTCATTTTCCAACAAAGGGGTAAATTGCAATAAGTAAATGTATTATTAATAAACCACTTTTTGTAAACCAAACTATCTATCAATCATTAACTATAAGTTAGTTTCACTTAATTTTTTTAAACCAAAAAGAGCCTAAATAATACAATTATTTGGATTATTATACTATAATGGTAAGACCAATTGAATTTAATACACCAGTGTGTCAGTGTCATCCATCTTGCCTCCTAAGTTGGGGAGAGATCATGCATAATGTTTTATAAGCATTTACACATAGTTTAGTTTTTTTTCTTGAGCCATTGTCTGCATTCACGGAAATGTCAAGTGTGTGAAATTTATTTAAGAGGTAGATGTCTTAAACAAGTATTTCAAACTAACATGTGAAGGGCCGTGATAACATCATGATGCCAGCAGAGAACCGAAAACTGCAAAGGCAGCGAAGAGATATCATATCATATCAGCAATTTGTAATGTGTATATGATATGTCTAGTACAAGACCTTAGATTAAACAGGAATCTAAAAGCACCACAATTTTAACGTCTTCTACCTTTAATGGACCTGTTGTTTTTATGCAGTTTTAAATTGCAATGATCAGTCAAAAACTCTAGTATTATTCCATCATAGTAACACAAACTCATGTGTGTGCGCCACATGGTACACATGCAGTGCGTAACTGCAAATTTGTTCTTAATTTGTTCACCATTGCCCATCCTACCCTCATTATCTATGACTACAACCAATGTTAACAACTTCATGATGAAAATCCCATCTTAATAGCACAGACATGACTACTATTAACAAAGACAATGTTAACATCATCAAGCCCTCAACATAAGCACACAAAAAACCAGCAACATTGAAACCAAAATTGAAATCAACATAGACAAATTTGAAATACATATTTCAAATACATTATTTGGAAAGATATTAAGCTTAGATAACTTCATTTGAAACCAGCAACATAATTGAAATCAACAGAGAAAATTTGCAAAACAATTAGAGGTCCGAACCTAATCATTGTGTTACGGAGTTGAGAGACAGTTACTCTAAAAAAATTTGAATACTCTTGGTCCCAAAAGAAAAAGGTATAACGACATCCATCATAAAATTCAATTTCAATTTTAAACCTTGAGAAGAAAATTTACGTGAATTCAAAAGCTAATAATCATAAAAAATTATAATAAACCAAATGATATTTTAAGTAAAATGAAATTGAATGGAGTAATCTTTTGTTTGAATTATTCAAAAATACAATTAAATGGAATGTTGATGAAACGCATTCCATTTAAACTCATTTCATATAATATCTATCTTCATTCCCTTTTCAATTGAGGATATCAAATGGAAAAATACTCTTTTTCCAATAGAATAGTAACTCTATTCCTTTCCCTCACCAGTAGGTCCTCATTTTCTCATCTGTTACAACATAAAGAATGCATGGCCATCTTTAGACCAAGCCAAATTTGAAACACGGTCTGCTTGAGGCTTACTGCACAAGGAATAGTGTAGAAAATATGGATCCAAATTACTGAAGGAAGATAACTAAATCATGATACATAACCATTGTCTCAAAAAATAATTTAAAAATGAATAATCTATGTAATTTTTTAAGCATCTTTGAATCACATCATTTGAAAATTCATAAATTACTTTAGCAAATCACTTTGACGGTATCATTACAATTTGTGAAGAAGAGGAAGAAGGAAGAAGAAGATGAAGAAGAAAGTAGTTCGTGAGAGAGAAAGAGAGAAAAGACGAGAGGGAGAGAGAAAAAGAGAGTGTGATGAGGGTTTTGATAGAAGCAGTGGATAGAAGCAAAAGGACAGAGTTCAATGAAGAAGTGACATTTGCTTTTTCGATGTGCAGAGGAAAAATGTTCGCTTTGGAAAACGAAAAGGTGATCATCAGTTTAAATGGAAGTATGTTTCAAAAAAGTAAGGCAAATTTGGTAACTAAAAAGACTTTTTAAATGAAATAATTAGTTAAATTTGGACCAACCATCAAATAAGTTAGAAAAAGCATTTTTAGGACCAAGTTTAATCTCAAAAAGAAGAGGTGTTGGAATATAAACAAATGTTAGAATTGAAATTTCCTGAGGCATTTATTTTCTTATATAAATGACATGACACCCTAAGATGAAACACGTTATTTGCCACATCATTAAAAATATATAATTATTTATTTTTTATTTTTATTTTTATTTTTTCATAAATAATTTATTTAATTTAAAGGAATAAAATAGCATTATGGTATTTGGAGTGGGAACCGCGAATAATTTGTTTTTTTTAGATATCTAAATTCTATGAACACTAGTTCTTCAAGAACAATTCCAAACAGAGTAATAACATTGAATATTCATATCAATAATGAAAAGTAATATTAAATGCTCTCTTCTATTACCATTGAGTTACATAAATACTGATACACCAGAAAGAAAATAAACTCATAATATAATTAAAGACCTGAAAACCTAAAACTAAAACAACTAACTTTATTCTTTGATGTGAAAATCAAACACCTTTACTTCATTACTAAACCTTTACTTCGCTTTCAACGCTTCTTCCTAAGAAAAAAACGGAACCAGAACAGAACTCGGGGGAGAAGTAAAAAACATCGATCCAACATAAATTCTGTCTTTCAAATTCGATTTCGAAATCCCAATCCACTTTTGCATCGCCACTGGTTCATGTCCAAACTGATTCGTCGATCCCAACACCAAATCACGTTTGTCCAAATCCAGATCTAGATCCAGATCCATAGCCTTCAAAATGAGTCCTCCATCGTTAATCTCCGGACTCAACTTCTCACATCTTTTAAGAATCTTAACTTATCCCATAATAAGATTCACCGGAGCAACAATAACATCTCAAGTTTGTCTCAGATCGTTTTGTTTCACCGACGGTACACTGGACTCCATTTCCAGCGACGATTCTAATTGACATAGGATTTGCAGTTGGAGTTAGGGTTGGGGCTACAGTTTTTGCAAGATGGAATCAGTGAGGAAGGGACTGACAAGGCTTCGTTGGGAAGAAAACGACGTTGAAGGCAATCGTGTGAATGGAGAATCACAGTTCCCACTCTAAATGCCATAATGTTATTTTATTCCTTTAAATTAAATAAATCATTTCTGAAAGCTAATAGTTGTATACCAGGGACCAATAAAAATTCACCAAAAATGATATTGAGGAACCTAATAGTTGTTTTTTTTAAAGAGGCACTAACATGTTAAAAAACTAGATATAGAAGGACTAAAAGTGCATTTAAGCCTTTTTATTTAATTTAGTAAATATTTGAAGTTTTAACTTGCCACCTTTAAGTTGAACTTGACACCCTCAAACTCAATGAAAAGACTATAGTATTCTTGCTAAAGTTTTATACCATTTTCATAATTCACTCTTACAAAGCGGAAATTTCAAAATCTCTAGTGCGATACCAACATGTTTGAGGAGCTACTGAAAATTCTACAAAAAAAAAGAGTAATTTATCAGGGATATTGGAATTGTCAAAAGTTTCTTTCAGAAATTTCGGAAGTTCTAATCGGAAATTATCAAAATTTCAGATGGTTCAAAAAAATTGAAAATTCCGCAAATTTTAGAATTTCTAGTACTGGCTTAGATACTTGGAAATCAGCCATTCATTCACTAATTTTTGTCATTTTATCATTTTGCAATGAAGACCAGGGGGAAGAACAAGACAATTGTCGGCAAGATCATTGATAGAGCGGCAACCCGGATTAGGGCTGATGCGACAAATGCTTCCTAACTACGGGCTAGACGAATAGCTCCAACCGATTCTATCCGAAAACGATTGATTGAGTAGTCTCAAGGCACAAGCGCACCTCGACGCTAAGCAGATATAATTGACATGGAACCTGTTGCTGAGGAGATTCTTGTTGTTGAGGTTGCTACGAGGAGGTTCATGTATTAATTACTGATGAGGAAGTTCCTGTTACTGAAGAGATTTCTGTGCCGACTACAGATACTGAGGTTGATGATGAGGTGTCTCCCATATGTCTTAATTATTGTTTGTGACATTTTGAAATTTCTTGAATTTCATAACAAAAATTTCATATAACCTATCAAGAATTTCGTTCGAATTTTTTGTTCTATTTTTGAACTAAGAGCATTTTTGACATTATCAAAATAAGTGTGTTGTTTAATTTGGGGTAGCAACTTAAAACCTCCAAATATTCTATCACCCCTCCATTGTTCTCCAAGCTTCTCATAACCTCACTGAACCTTCCACTAGCAATACTCGTTTACCGGAGATTCTCCCTAAAATTCAAAATTCAGTCTCATACAGGTTTTCCTCTTTTCATTCATCTTTTTCGGATTTTTTTCTCTCTCTTATTCATCATTGTAATTTGTTTATGCAATATGGTTTCACAGAACTTCAATGGCTTATAGACGCTGCCTCTTGCAAAGAGGAAAACTCATTGATCGGAAATGCCACCCTTCTTTCAGCTACATTCTCCATCACAGTGATGAACGGAAACGCGATGAAAAATCTAGTTCAACACGAATTCCTAATTTTATTCAAACAAGCTCTCTTAATGGATCAACGGGGTTTTCTCCATTTGCTGGGTATAATTTCTGTCGAAATATGTCGACAATCAATAGCAATTCAGATAAGATTACTGCAACAACTGATGTAGCTGATGTTCTTATTGATACCACCGTCGAGGCAGTAGCTTCTCAGGCTCCTGTTGTTAGTGAAGTTGCCATTGCTGCTGCTGATTCTTATTTGCCTATACAAGCCGTGCAGTACCTTATAGATGCTGTGCATTCCTACACTGGACTTAACTGGTGAGTTCCACTTGCTATTCATTATTAATAAGGACATTTTTTAGGTTAATGGAAATTTAGGGTTTCGAGAATTTGCCAGCTACATCGTTCTTTAATAGTTAATTCCTTAACTGATAAAAGATTTAGTGTATGTTTGGTTTAGCTTTTGGAAGAGGTGAAAACAATTCTAGAGGTGTAGAATTGATTTTGGAATGATTTTGAGGTGTTAGGTTATTCTAAAGTAAAATTGATTCTATTTGAGAGTAGAATTTGTAGCTTTTGAGTTTAAACGTGATTTTTACATTGAAATTTATTGGTTAACTTAATTTTACACTAAATTATTCAAACATAAATCACTTTAATTCAACTCACTCAAAATCAATTTTTTTTTTCACCGAGAACCAAACATGCGTTAAAATGTTACATGAATTCTGAAAGGAAACTTTTCACTTTTTTGCTCTTTTGTATCAGGTGGGCAGACATAGTTCTAACAACTCTCTTGATTCGAATTGCAACTATTCCGATCTTACTATATCAACTCAAGGACACTTCTAAGCTTGCAGTATGTTCTGCTACTTTGCTTTTGTACTTGTTTCTCGCTAGAATAAAGTAATGCCAATGACTATTACTTGCTCCTTCCTCTTTTGTTATTCTGTTTTAATTGGATACTAATTAGATATTTGTGGTGAGATTTTCCCCTTGGTTTTCTTTTCCATTTTAAAACACGACGTCCTTGATATGGATTGTAGGGTTTATTCACTCACTTCACCACTCTGTTCCTTCATTTTTTTGCCCTTTTGAACAAATGTCCTGAAGCTTGTTGTATATTTGATAATGCACTTTTCAATAACCCTATCTATCTTATTATTACCAAAGCTTACCGTTTCATGGTATTGCAGCTTTTTACGCTTCAGATGAAAGAGAGGACGAAAGAGATGAAGAAACAAATAGAAATGAAGGTAATAATGCTCTAGTTCATCAAGTCATTTAATCAGTAATATTCAATATAATGCTTTGATATATATTGTTATGTATGTAAGTTAAGCATAAGGAGCCTCACAAGTTCTATTGTCTTATATCGAGAAATTTTAATTTGCATTTTTTTATGGGAATTTTTTTGACTGTTCACCAGTAAAGTGTCTAATCTAATGATCGATGTTGTCGGTAAAACAAAGGGATCAAAATAAATAATTCCGCTTGAGTAGTCTTATTTTCTCCATTCATAATGAGTGACTAAGTTTTTGTTGATATTTGAAAATATATAATGTTAAGAATATTTGTATGTAGAATAGTCCCACATCGATTATATAGTGTAATTAGTTGTAATCTCTCTATGTATAATAAAGTCTCCGTAGTGATTTCATGTCACACGGTTTAACCTAAATGTCTCTTAGTCTCTCTTAATTCAATATGGTATCTAGAGCCTTCTAAGAGGCAATTCTTCGCCGTGCTTTACCCGGTTGACCCACTGTCTTCCGGTAAGAAATTTTCTTCTGCAAACCGTGTCATCATTCCGGTTTGCCTCACCTTTTTTTTTTCCAGCGACCTCTGCCAAGCGCAGTCCACGAAAAAAAAAATAATTTTTTTTGGAGGACTACTGTTCACCGCCGCCGCTACTGTTCACGAAAAAAAAATTGTTTTCTCTTTCGGAAAATCGCCTTCCTCCTCCGGTTCCAGATCCGCCCTCGGTTTTCGTTTTCGACTCACAAAAAGTCGTACTCTCGAAAAGTCGTACACTATGCAGACTTCACCTTCTCTTCAGAACCCTACGCCAAGCTACGAGGATTTTCTCAGGTGGTGTCAGACTAACCAGACCTCTGGTTCCACAGCTTCGTTTGCACACACTGGTAATTCATCTGTTTGCGTCTCTCAATCATCTCCTCTTGGTCCTTGGGTCCTCGACTCTGGTGCGTCTGATCATGTTACCGGTAATAAAAATCTTTTCTCTTCCCTTTCTACCTCTAGTTTCTTACCGAGTATAACTGCCGCAAATGGTTCTCAAACCCGATCCCAAGGGATCGGTACTGTTCAAATTCTACCATCTCTCTTTGTTACTTCTGTCCTATATGTACCTAATTGCCCATTTAATCTACTGTCAGTCAGTCGTTTAACTCGTTCCCTTAATTGTTCTATCACTTTTACTAACAGTGATGTTATTCTGCAGGATTGAAGTTCGGGACAGATGATTGGCGTCGGATGTGAGTCTCAAGGCCTCTACTACTTCTCTACGTCATCTACCACATGCTCCACCACAAATTCTCCACTCATTATACATGCGCAGTTAGGTCATCCAAGTCTTCCCAAGCTACAAAAGTTGGTTCCCAGTTTATCTAAATTATCCACTTTACAGTGCGAGTCTTGTCAATTAGGAAAACATACTCGTAGTCACTTTCCTGATCGAGTCAATAAACGGGTTACGTCTCCTTTTGCTTTAGTTCACTCCGATGTTTGGGGTCCATCGCGTACTGTGTCTACTTTTGAGTCTAGGTATTTTGTAACATTTATTGATGATTTTTCACGTTGCACGTGACTATTTTTAATGAAAAACAGATCTGAATTATTTTCTATTTTTGAACAATTTTATCGAGAAATAAGAACCCAATTTGGTTTGTCCATTCGTACCTTAAGAAGTGACAATGCTCGTGAATATTTATCCCAACAATTTCAAACTTTTATGTCATCCAATGGTATTCTACACCAAACATCTTGTCCTCATACACCTCAACAAAACGGGATAGCCGAACGCAAAAACCGGCATCTCGTAGAAACCACTCAGACTCTACTTCTCCATGGTAATGTCCCTCTCAGATTTTGGGGGGATGCTGTGCTCACAGCGTGTTATCTCATAAATCGCATGCCCTCATCTGTCCTTAATAATAAAATCCCTCATTCAATCTTGTTTCCAAACTCTCCTCTTCATCCAATTCCTCCTCGAGTCTTCGGGTCTACATGTGATAGGTAAATAGCAAGTGTACTATTTGTTTGCCTATTGTAGTGATAAAAGGAGTTTTCTCCGAATGTCGATCTCAAGGACTGCTTGAGGATATAGAGTTGGAATATGATTTCAATTAAACAAAAGATCACTGGTAATGGTTTGGTTTATAAGAAAATGATTAAAATATGCAATTCAGAAAGAGCGAATAAATCAGTTAAACGAATAACAGATATGAGTAATATGCTAGGGGTAGGTGAATGATTCTGCCTGCAATAATTTCGACTTATCAGTGCAATAATGTACTTCACACCAATTGATTACCGGTTCTCTAGAGCATCTAAGCCTAAATCCTTAGTCAGAAGATCTTTGAACACATACCATAACTTCTATGTCCATAGTCAATTACGGAAATGATCAAGCATTCAGATATTGAGAATTTTCCGGTTGAGATAAAATATTTCTAGTCCTAGATAATATTTATTATCAAATGTTCTTATTTAGGTCGATAAACAATAGCTGTCCAGCTTAATATTTATAAAAACTCATAATCCGTTTTTCCGACGGTTTACGCATTAAGAACGATAACAAGAACAAATCAATTTAACAATGAATAACAGAAATTAATGCATTGACAAATACGAATTCATTACATTCAGAATCAGGGTCACCCCCTAGCAAAAGGGGGTTTAGCTACTCATAATCGAAAACAAAGTAATGAAAAGAATTGTTGTCATTACAAAATCTGTCGAGGAATCAATCTTCAATTGTGTAAACTCTTGAATGATGTGAAACCCTTTACAAATTCTGAGTTCTCCAGCGCTCTGAACGTGTCTTTGCAGTCCAAAAAAATCCTCCCCCGGGAAATTCGCAGTACTGATTTATATAGGTCTGAGATGGACAACATTTTGGGCCTCATACGCGTATGATACTCCCTATACGCGTATGGGCAGAGTGAATTTTGCACATGATTTCAACAAAACGCGTATGAGACGCGTATCAGCTAGGGGCATACGCGTATGACATTCCCATACGCGTATGATCAGACTTGTTTTTTGCCTTGGACTTTTAAGGAATGCGTATGGGACTTGTGGCTGATTGAGCCATACGCGTATCAGAAGGGCCATACGCGTATGGGCTGCCTTGACTTGGATTTTCTTCCTTTCTTGCTTGTCCCAGCTTTTGTGCTCCTAAACTTTGACATCCATGCTCATAAACCTGAAACCACTAATTATACCAAAAAGAGCGTAAAAAGAAACCAGAAAGAAATTGCCTTAAGCAAAGTACTTTTTACTGAAAAGAACAAAGATAACTTAAAATCGCGTGTTAAATCAAACAGTTTACCTGAATTCTTACTTTTTTAAATGGTGAAATACTAACAAAAATGGTGACTGATCACAACCCCAAACTTAAATTGTTGCTTGTCCTCAAGCAACTTCAAATCAAGACCAATCATATCACCCCAAACTTATTTGAAACAAAACTCTTACCACAATACCTATGAAATCTTTCGCACCTCATTTCACGACCACCCTTTAATTCTTCCAACTTTATGCCACCATTGCTTAGAAACACTTCCATTTTGAAACATCATTCGACCTGTCAGCTTCCTTCACACTCTCACCAGTTCTCTCAGGGGTTCATGTGTTTACACTCAAATTCATGGTATGTAATACTCACTCAATAATTCGAATGAATCCTAATCCTTGTTAACATGCATAAGTCACACACTTTTTCGAGGTCTTTAAGGATGTAATGGGGCTCGGGTTAAGGTGGAATAAAAACAAAAGGATGAAGGTTACAAGTTTCAAGTATGTGTCTATGCGTCTCATTGCTAAACACGGTTATTGCTGGGTCTCTTGGAAAAGTCTTCGGGTAGTTCCATGCATATATTTATGAGTACCTTTTCATTGTAAGCTTTCTCCTTTTTTTTTTTTTCTACCATTTCCTGATCATTCTTCTATTTTTGCATACGCACTGTTCTCGTATTGCTCTGATTTTATCTGCAGAAGTGTGGATCTTTTTTTTTTTTTGTGTGTCTGTGCCTCTGTTTTCAGGTTACATTGTTCGTCCTTCTCAAACATGGCCCCATATGATCGAAACAGATTCAGATCTGCTGCACATTTTGCAAAGTTTGAGAGTTTAGCCACCAGAAACATCATTGAAGAAAGATCTTGGACATTAACAACCGAGGATTAAACCTGTTAGCAGAGTTTTGATCCAAGAATTTTATGCCAACGCCTTCAGAACAGACTCAGAGGTTGATCCAGTGTTGGAATCTCGAGTTCGGGGTAAAAGAATCAACTTTAGTGCTGATAAGATTAATCGGATTCTGAAATCAAAACCCCTCGAGGAACATTGTCCCTTTCAAGAGATGAAAATGTCCATGAGACGATTCTGGCCATTTGACGAGATGAAAAATTTGTTGCTTCAAGAAGGAAAGGACTGGCACCCTACTACAAGAGCCTCGCCTTCAAAGATGATGGTTGTGGATTTGGCCCCTATTCCAAAAGCTTGGGCTTTCTTTGTCCATCACACTCTGAGCACCAATCAAAGTGGATCTGATTTAATTGCTGAAAGAGCAATGTTGTTATATTTTTTTCTGACCCACCGTCCTGTGAACATTGGGCGGATCATCTCTTCCGATATTGACGACATAGCGCAATCTTCTTCCAAGAAAGCGCTCGGTCATGCTTCTGTGATTTATTTGTTGTGCAGGAAAGCAGGCGTTCCGGATCTTGATGGACCAGTGGTTAGACCAGCTAAATCATTAGGGTCGAGTTGGTTGTCCCTCGTTGCACCTCACAACACTCAAACTGAAGAACCTAGAGATGATGGTTCAGGACCGAGTGGCACAACGAGACCTGAGAACACCACATCCGCACCAGAGAGTACTACTGCTCCAAATACTTCTGCATCTGTTCCATCATCTTTGGCTGCAGATATGATGGATGAAAACTCTCGGTTGTATCGGTTTATGATGTCAGGTTGGTGTATGTGGCAAGACCAGTGCCTGCAGATGGGGATTCCAGCACGCTACATGTGTCACCAGACTGATTTGTGGAATGATGCTCAGCGTTTCCGTGATCGTTACTCTGGCACTTCAGATGATCCTTCTTTTGGGATCGTTCGCATTCCGGGATTCCCTGCACCATTTCAGATGGGGACCCTTTATCCCGCAACAACAGCAACATCAGCAAACCCCTAACCCGCAGCCGACTGTATCCCCACTAGATGCATTTGTTCAGGGGACACCTTTTGATATCGATGAGCACATCAGTTTTGATGCAGATATGCAGGACAGGGATGGAAGAACCGACGCATAGAGTTCTTTGTTATCTTCTAGTTCGTTTGTTAGTTTTTTTTTTTTTTTTTTTTTTTTTTTTAGGTACTCATATTGTGAGTTCATCTCTTGAATATCATTGCATAGCTACCCCACACTTACACGTTGCTATTCCATGAGCAACCTCAATCTTACACAAAAGCCGATAAACCCACAATTGTAATTTACATACTTGAAACAGGGGAAGGTGACATTTAACCAGGGTGTGAGAGAAAGAAAAGATATGTTTTTTTTTATTTTTTATAAGGTCGACAATGGGGAACAAGGGATAATCACGCTCAGGTGACTACAAAAAGCTCTAGGGTGAAAGAAAAAAACTTGCCTCAGTGTGTTATTATGCAGTATACAACAGAAAAGGACGCATGCAAACTCTGAATAGTAGAATCATACCTGAATATCCCTCATGGAAATGAATGAATAATCGGCTATATCTGAACTCACTGACAGGTCTCCTGATGGCTCTCCATATTGTGCGTCTTCACTAAAGTTGTCACAAAGCTGTTAGGATTTCAGGATGACGTTGACTGAAGTGCGTCCGATCTTGAGTCACAGGTATCTATGAATGAGGTAACATGATTGGATGATTTACACATTTGTGGAGTCTAGAATCGATGTCACCCATTTAGTCAGAACCACCATCTCTATAAACAAGAAATTCATACTGAATGATAAAACAACGGATTCATTAATAAGTTATGCCCAATGGGCGATTACAGAGAAATAAAACTTAAAATAAAACAAAAACAACGAAAACAAAGTACATCATAACACAAGATACTAGAAGCAATCGAAACAGAAGAAAAAAAAAAAAAACTAACAAACGAACTAGAAGATAACAAAGAACTCTATGCGTCGGTTCTTCCATCCCTGTCCTGCATATCTGCATCAAAACTGA